TTAAGGCCCCATTCGGAAGAGATTAAAAGCCAATTAAAATTGAAAATATGGCCGTTATTGGGTCCCACTCGCCTAATAAAAGTCAACAATAACGGCTATATTTTCAATTTTAATCCCTCCCATACAAGACCTAAGTAACTTGTGTACTCATCTGTTTATAACTTTTGCTCTCTTATTAAGCTGGTAATGAAATATGGCCTTCTTTTGACGTAACATACAGTTGAAAGTGAATTTCAGCAATTAATTTGTTGTTAGAAAATCGACGTGAATGACTTTGAGGTCGACAATTTTCCATGATTCTATCCATGTACTAGGTTAAACCCAAGGCTTCAACAGGCAGTTAGATGAGTCGTTATGATGATAAATGGATATCTAGGCTCGGAGCAGCCCTCCTTTACAGGCAGCCAGATATCTAGGCTCAGAGCAACCCACCTTTATGGGTTGCCGGCACGCCAGTTTCTGTCCGTTCCAGGCGACCCAGGCTAGGGGTGGACCCCTCCTTTACAGGCAGCCGGATATCTAGGCTCAGAGCAGCCCACCTTTACGGGCTGCCGGCACGCCAGTTTCTGTCCGTTCCAGGCCACCCAGGCTAGGGGTGGACAGGTCCTTATTGACAAGCCTAGTTGGGCGTGAATCTTTTATGGCCTCCAGCTCCGAAGGAAGTTAATGATCTTGCTCAATGCTGACTAAACATCTGTTACGTTGGTAGGTTAGTTTTTATAGTTCTCTCTTAACTCCCACCCACCCCTACCCCACCCATAAAATTTGGTTCGCCTCTCTGCTTGTAAAGTTGTATTTGTGTGTGATAATATTAAAGAGCTGAACAAGAAAAGTAGACATTATATGAAAATGATGACTAATCTAGCAGTGTTTTTCTTGGACTCCTTTTAAAAACTTCCCTGTTTTACCAACATTATTTTTTTCATTTTCATTCTTCTACACATTTTCAACCACACATTTTTTAATAAAATAATATTTTCCATCATATCAATAACTTTTCTTTCATTTTCAATCACATATTCTCCATCATATCACTTTAAAAAAATGCACACTCTCATTTTAATGTGTATTAAACAGGCTAATCTGAGTCCGACTGTGAATACATCTTTTTAAAGCTCTCTGTTTCATCTTCAGGTCTGTTCGAGACTTGGCTTTAGTTGGCGCACCAACTTCCACGCAATTCTTTACACTTCATTAACCCAGTCTTCTCCTCTTTGGACTAAATCTTTCAAAATGTGGAAAAGAGTGATTGCAGCTTGCCCCCACATCTTTCTTTGCTCAACGTA